AGATCCGTTTTTTTAGGTTTTTTTTTTGGGGGGGGGGGGGGGGGGGAGGGGATTGGACACCACCAGACAATCGAAATTCTTTTCACTCCATCGCTGGGATTTTGTGACGCGGACAAAGGTGCATTCAGTTGATAAACTACTATTAAGAGTGAAAGATGAAGTTCCTAAAAGCTCTTATTTCTCGGAATACACCTTTTGTCCGCGTCACAAAATCTCAGCGTTGGTGGGGAAGAAATTTGATTGGCTGGCGGTATCATCAAACGAATGCATGTTCAAGAGACCCGTCGTGAGATCCTTTCTTTACTAAATTAAAAATAAAAAGCTAATACAAAGGAGATAAATCACATATTTAAAGCTTGCCGAGAGGCGTCCTACGACTTTCAAACCGGAAAAGTGCCTAATGATTTCAAGGTATTAGGCAGAGTTTGTTATACCTTGACATGGTGAAGATGTGAAAAGGCCTATTCCCACCTCTAGCCTTTCTCAATGTAACTCTACCTTAAATCTTAATCATTTTTATACGCCAACATGGAAATGTGGACGTATATTTCCGTCGCCTCCGTCCGTCCGTTCACATTTTTTTTGTATGCACGATGGAGACTACAGTTTTTATCTTGAAACTTTGTATGCATGTTTATATCGATGAGATCTCATATCAGTCAGTTTCGAAATTGTTTCGAGGTTATTGCCCTTTACTTAGTAAAAAAGCGTCTAATTTGGCTTGTCCGATCCAATATTGATGAAAAATGAAACTTGGTATGAATGTAAGATTAAGCTATATTGATGAGATCTTGGTCAAGTTCGAAATTGGTAATACCAATGAAATACTCAAATAACTCTATTTGAGAATTCATTATTAGGCCACTAAGGACTTTGTTATTATTTCTGACAACTAGAAGTGGGCGTAAGTTACCTTGCCTGACAAGCTATCTTTTAGAATTAACAGAAACATGGGGCATATATATTTAAGTATAAATAGGTATTTTGAGGTTAATAGAGTTTATTACTGTTTAGAAGTTAATATATATTTATATTCTGGCTTTAAGGCAGGATTATAATATAATCCTTAGATGACTTAGGGTTCTTTCCCTCAAGCTATATGGCCTCCATTAAAACATTTATGCAAATATTTCATTACAATTTCGTGATTTAACATGGAAATAGATGGCAATTGAATTGGTGGTGTAAGTCCATTATATAGGTAT